AATGTGTTCTATGTTGTTTTGTGATTGTTTTGCGATTTAACTAATTTGTTGTTTTTATCCGGAGTATAGTATTAGTGTGCTAAAAAAATTAGTAAAAATAGAGAAATTATTATTAGTTGTTAAAAAATGTTAATTAGTTACTTTTTACTGTGGTATATGTATTTTCGTGAATGTTTTGTGATTAAATTTATTTTTTATTTTTATCCGGTTTAGATTATTTATTTTCTTAAAGACTAGTAAAATATATAAATTATTACTTTAGTTCCCTCTAGTGGTATCTTGTGGCCTAATGTAGTGCTTGTATTTCTAATGTATTGCCCTTTTGGCATAGTAAAATGTAGTGCCCTTTAGCGTAGTATCCTTATAGTTATTGAAATTCATCATTTAAGTATCTCTTATACATAAATATACGTCAAAAAGGTTGATAGTTCAAACACAAACTCTGTCCAATTCTTGTCAACGATCGTAAGAAAATGACATGAGAAAACAATAATATTTTTCGGACTAAGTATTGTTATATAAATATTTAATAATTAAATCTTGTATAGTTATGAAAATTAATTATTTAATTTTATTATAGTCAAAAATAAGTGAGTCATAAACAAAAATATATAATAATAAAACTAACAAATAAAATAATAAAACTAACATATAAATTAATAAAACTAACATATACAATACTAAACTAACATATAAATAATAATCTAACATTTAAAATAACATACATGTTGAGTGATAAATCGAAAAAATAATTTCATCATGAACACAAGAATTCAGGATACTTTGGTACTACTGGGCCTCAAATATCGAGCCTGGAACCCATATGTGAATATTTAATAATTAAATATTATATAATTATGAAAATTAATTAGTTAATTTTATTATAGTCAAAAGTAGGTGAGTAACAAACAAACATATAAAATTATAAAACTAACATGTAAAATAATAAAATTAACATATTAATGTAAAATAATATAATTAATATCGTTCAATTTACAGTAGCCGACATGGAGGTTTCGCCTTTGCATCCCGGATCTGCCACGCTAGAGCTACTTTTTCTACAGGGCGAGCATGGGTCGTCCTACATATGGGAGGGACAGTTACTGGCGCAGACATTCCGCGCCAGGAGAGTAGACAATATGTGGGACTTTCTTAGGGCCCACCCTCTTCATCTCCGTATAGTCAGACGCCTCCAGAATACGAGTTTTTATAGGATTATGGAGATCGACCGGATGCGGATGGATTGGTCGTTGATCACGGCCCCGATAGAGCGGTGGCGGCTGGAGACGCACACATTCCATTTGCCCATTGGCGAGGCCACTATCACGCTTCAAGACGTGGAGGTCCTGTATGGATTTTCCATTGATGGACACTCTGTTGCTTTGCTGAATGCCATCAGAGAGTATACGGGTTTGCAGTACCTAGAGATGCTGCAGCGGCTCACCGGTTTCTAGCCACCGGATAAGACTGCATTGATTGGGGCCAGTCGTCTACAGTGACGCCCATTCGGCAGCATTTGGAGGCGATGCACGCTGACATCACAGATGATACACCGGAGCTTCATATTCACCGGTACACGAGGTTGCTGATGTTGCTTATGTTTGGAGGGGTTTTGTTCCCTAACACTTCAGGGAACCTAGTCAGCTTGAGATTTCTTTATCATGTTGAGCGGCTAGATGATTTACATCATTACAGCTGGGGTGTTGTTGTTCTCGATTACTTGTGCAGGCAGATGTGTTGGGCGAGCATGGGCACCCAGCGAGACGTTGCAAGATTTTTGCGGCTACTGCAGGTGAAAACATAGTCGAATACTCTCTTTATTATAACATACCTAGTAAAAATATACCTTAAATTTTACGTCCGCGTTGTATATTAGGATTGGACCTGGGAGCGGTTCCTGCAGTTGCAACCACCTCTACCACCCTTAGCTCCGGATGCACCACCTCCATCTCCCTTTAGCTATGAGGTGGGTTGATAGGCGAGGATATGGACGGGAGTAGGAAGCTCGACATAATCTCCCATATTGCAAGGATTTGTTAGATTTGCTGGAGGGCGCACAGGTAAATGTATGCCTAAGTTTACTTTTCCTGGCTTTATATGTGTTGTGTATACTCACGTTTTCTGTTTTTACTTAATAGTTCATTTGGAGGCCATACAATGACGAGCTAATAGCTGGTTTGCCCGATTATTTCTCGACCGATCGAATTATGTGGAGCTCTTCCGTATCATTGATGTGTCTCGATATTGTCAAGAATCATGCCACCTAGCGAGTACTTCGCTAGTTTGGTCGCATGCAGCTTGTACCGCCACCGCCCGCTTGGCCTATGACATATTACCAGCGGGATGATCGTTCCAGGGTGGACCAGATATATGTGGCATAGCTAGAGGTGCAGATCGATACTTGGGACCAGCAACATGACTTGATTCCGCCCCCCGCCCCCCTCTACCTGATCGACCGGATGGTGAGCATGAGTATATGGGCTGGTACAGCAGCGTTACCCGACTTTTCGTCGAGAATCCCGTTTATTGCATTGGCGATCGGTACATTCCATACGCCGGGAGGCATGAGGCACTGGTATGTTATTTTGTATACTTACTTATAACGTTAACCTAGCGTTCCGTAATTTATATTTTACATGTTGTGCAGGCAATTAGCCTACATCTATTCCACCAGTTGGGACTGCAGATGCAGTAGCATACCGGCGAGGGAGCAACCGATTTGCACGAGTATGGCTGGCAGGTTACCGATCTGGCTTCCCAGACATTGAGGCGAGCCCGAGATGATGAGCGTTTAGGATAAAAGGCTAAGTATGCGGCACTAGAGCAGTACCATCGTGGGCTACCAATGGAGCCGGAACGTGGTCGACATGCCCAAAGAGGTAGGGATGTCCCACGAGGTAAGGGTGTCCCACGAGGTCGTGGGGGTCGGCGAGGAGGTGGTCCCCAGCAAGGGGGCGTTGAGGCACCTGTTGAGGATGTTGGAGTTGATTAGCTGGGTGACCTCCAAGAGCCAGACCATGCTCATAGTGATATGTCGTCATTCAACCTCTAGCTTACTCTAGGGACTTCACAGGTGACCCCGTCAGCTCCATTGTTGATCGCGGGCACGGCCATTACGCGAGAGGATTGGGATCAGTATTTTCCTGATCCTCCAAACCCATCGACCGTTGTTGATGATCGTCCAATGCGAGATGTGGATAGTGGATGCCGGCTGAGTATTGGCTCATCATCGAGGGATGCTGAGGATCTTTCATAGGCGCAGGTTTGTTTGTATTACTATTATTTATATTTATTTTTATCTCATTGATTAGCCATAAATATCTTTATATTTTTTTAAGGCTTCATCCTCGCCCGTAACGGAGGCCACTTTGTGCGATACTGACTTGGCTGCGATGGATGATTATATTGAGGAGCCCGACGAGACCATGGTAAAATTATTTAAATTTTTGTGACTTAACACGTACATTACTAATATATAAATATATCATATACTAAAATATATTATTATTCTGTAGGTTACTGCTGGACCGACGACCCCTTCTACCGAGCCTGCCAGCCCTACTGACGATCATGTTGCAACGTATCCTCCGATAAAGAGGCGACGTGATGAAGATGATCCTGATAGTGTAGTCGGGCAGGATTGGATGCGCCTCAGGTCAACAGATGCATTAAAGCATACAGGATGTGAGACACATTAATTTTTTATATTTTGTGTACATATGACATTCAGTAAATAATAACAACAATTTTTATTGTTTACATTATATGCGCATTATGTTTTTATTTCTCTGATTCTTATTTTAATACTACAACACAAACACAAACATATCAACTTAACATAATTTAAATTCAGTACAACTAAATTAAATACATGATATGGAAAATACAAAGATAAAATACTACACTCAACACATACATGTGTTTGTTTAGTTACTACCGCCTATTATTCTCTGCTTTAACCACTTAAATTTCTCTTCCAGTCTATTTTTTTCTTCTTCCGCCTCTTTTAGTTTTTCCTACACTGCCGCAATTTCTCGTTGTATTTCAGAGATCTGACGTTGGTATTCACCGTTCATATTCCAAACATACTGTAAACATAATTTGTAGTATTCCTGGTTAATGGGTTCATTGCATCCAAACAATTGTTGACATATCCAATATTTGCACCCAACATTACCATCTGACCAATATGCCTTCAAAATCGCACGTTTGCCACAATAGCACCTTGGTTGGTCATTGCGTCCAGACATTTGTTAATGCAAGAAAAATAAAATATTTATAGAAAGTTTTGCTATTTGTTTTGGTTAAGCACAGATAATAACTAAAATGCGCTAGTTATCTATAGGCAAGATAACACACACAACCTAGTATTTCACCACGCTATGCTTCGCGTGTTAAAAATTCTTTCGGGTACAAAACAGCTTTTCCAGAAGATAGCTTTTGCAGGCGAGCAACTTTTTAGGTCGACAAGACAACACACATAACGTAGTATTTCACCGCGCTATACTTTGCGTGTTAAATATTCTTTCAGGTACAATACAGCTTTCCAGAAGATAGCTTTTGCAGGCGAGCAACTTTTCGGGTCGACAAGATAATTGTTTTTTTTAAAATGAGTTTATGTTAGATTGTTGTACTGAAGTATTAATGTTAAATATCAATAAGATTTAACAGCAATGGAAATATAATTTTATTTCATATATTATGCAAGATAAACAAGTATATACACTTATTACAACCATATTACGGAAACAAAACACTACGTGTATCCTTAATAGTTGGGCACATTAGATGAACTTCCACCGGGAGTTGGATTACCATCGCCACCCAAACCAGCTGAAGGACATTTACAACTGCCGTGTCTTGTTTGCGAGATTATGCCACATTTGCGCGTATAAACGTTATCACCAACATATATTTGGTTCTGTATACGCGTTCTTTTTTGCACTTGTCGTTGACGTACATAGTCCTTGTTACACACCATTTTAAATAGTTCCGGTGGCAAATAATGCTCAACACCCACTGGCTGCAATTGCCCACTATAGGTGTTTAAGTATGCAGCAACATTATATTCTTTATCAACATAGTTGGTTACCCCTAAACCCGTATGTTGAAAGCACTTGATGGCATGTGAGCACGACATGTGGTAGATGGACCATTTCCCACAAGAGCATAACCTTATGGATTCATTTACGGTATGTGTATTATTCCTCCGGTTTTGATGGATAGCGGTGCGAACTTCAAAAATATTTCGGTTGTTGCAACACTGTAAATATGAATCCCAATGTGCTCGCCACATGTATTTCTCAAATCTTTTTATTGGTAGTGGCATAAATTCAACACCTCTTTCCATCAATGACGATGCACCTCTAGCCCTTTCAATAAATCTCTCTGCCATCTGCTTGAATGACATCCACACCATGGCAGTGACAGAAAATTCACGTGCAGACTTCAATAACCCGTTGAAAGACTCTGACACATTTGTAGTCAAAATTTTCCATCTTCTGCCACCATCCGCATGCAAAGTCCACTTGTTAAACTCATGTCGTATCAACCAACGATAGGCTCTCTCGTCTTCCTGCTTGATAGATTCCATGCGCCTCCTGAATTTACACTCTTGGTGTTCTGTTGCAGCCATCTACATTAAATCATGCAAATCCTTGTTGGGATGTGCCTTCTGAAAATTGGCCTTCAGGTGCCTCACACAGTAATGGTGGTAGGCATATGGTTCTTGCCATGCAGGCAAAGTTTGTACAAAACTTAAAATACCACCATGCCGATCAGATATTAGACAAATACCTGAGCTCTGTTTGACAACGTGCTCTTTCAAGTGGTTCAAAAATATTGTCCACGTCTATTGGCTTTCATTGGCACAAATAGCAAAAGCTAAGGGAAATATACTTCCATTAGCATATACTGTAATGACGATCAACAGTTTAATATCAGACTTTTCATAGACATGAGTGTCGTCTATGGATATTACCGTCCGACAATGCAGAAAATCATCAATTGCTGGTTTAAATGCCAATAACACATATTTGAATATATGTTCTGGTATTCCCGGACTCCGCTTAAGCTTCCATTTAATAACAGTCCCAAGGTTAAAGTATTGCAATGCAGCCATGTACCTGGTAGATATGCAAAGGACTTATCCCAGTTACCATAAATAATTTCAAATGCATGTTTGCACTCGAGAAATGCCTTTCTTTTGGTAATGGTGCACCCATATTCCTGGTGGACGGATGTTATACACTCTTTGATCTTGTACCTTATGGACGCTTCAATGTGTGGAATCAAGACAAGAGAAATCAAGTCAACATTCAAGTTAAAATAATTTCCACTGAATGTGTCCATTTTACAATTGTGGGTGCCAATGTATTTACCCACAACCAACATATTTGTTTTCTTCATCCTCGCACGTAACATCCAATTACAACCCGTAAACCATCTACGGCAG